CCCTCCGCACTCTTCTTCTTGCCCTCTGTCGATCTCCGTTGTCGGGAAATTTAGCCCCATTCTTACCCCCCTTATCTTCCTCTGGTGGGGCCAGCCACCGGCTTGCGGCTGCACTCTCCCCTCCTTCCCTTTCCTCGTCCATTCCCTGTCCAGGCCCCCTGCCCGTCTGGCTGGGCTTTCTTGGGTTTTCGTTCCCTGCTCGCCCGGCGACGCACGCACGCGCGCCCGCCCGCCCCCCCCCCCTCCACTTCTCCCGTTTCCCCCCCGTTCTCCTTCTCCCCTTTCCTCCTTCCTCGGCTGGCCCTGCGCAAGTGCGTGCTCCCTTCCTATTCCGGTGCCTCTTGTCGCGTTCCGCGCCGGCGCATTCCCCAATCCCCCCCCCCCCCCGCCCCCTCTGAGTCCCCCTCACCGGGCCCCATCTAACCACCTGCGCGTGCATGTGACAGATATCCCTCTCCCGGCTTGCCTTCTCCCCTCCCTCCTCCTTCCCGGCCTTGCCCTTCTCTCCTGCGGTACCTCGTAGTACCCGGGCGCGCGGTCTCCTCCCGAGGTCCGCCCCCTTTCTCCCCATCGCGAGAGCGAGACCCAGCCCCCGTTGGACGTATGCCGAGCGCTTGATCTTCCCTCCCTCTGCATTTCTTCTTCCCCCACCTGTCCGATGATGCCCCCCTCTCAGTCGAGTGGCTCGACCGCCGGCGGGCCGGCCGCCGGCGGCCACTCCTTCCCTCTGGCCGCCACCGGCAGCGGCCCCGGCATCAACCCTGGTGCTGGGTTCCCTCACCCGATGCTCGGCCTTGGCGGTGTCGGTGGCGGCAGCGGCGGCAGCGGCGGCAGCACCGGCAACGGCGGCACCGGCGCCGGCCTTGGCACTGGGCATCCGGGCCTTGTGCCGCACCATTCGGCGCCCATGCAGCCACATCAATTGGTCCTGCCGCATGGCCACCTCTCGCCGGTGCTGATTTCCGGACAGCCACCCGGCGCGCCCCCCTCATCGATGCATCCGCTTGCACTGCACCCGGCTGTCGGCGGCCATCCCGGAGCCCTGGGGACATCCATGGCCGCCCCGTCGCTGGTCTCAATGGCCGGGTCCTCGCCGCCTCAGGGCCCGGATCCGGGCAAGCCCATGCTTCCTCGGCACTCCGGCCATGGGCCTGGTGCGTGCACGTCAGCCCCCCCCCCCCCCCCTTGGTGGCCATCTGTTCATCCTGCCTGGGGCTGACATTGGCTTCTGCTTGTTCCCCCCCCCCTCTCCTCATTTGCGACAGGCCACATGGCATATGGACGGCCCTTCCCCCCGGGAATGAGTGCCCCGGTTGGCAGTGATGCCGGCACCGGGAGGCCCAGCACGATGCCCGGCGGCCCGGAGGACGTCCCCTCCGCAGGTGTTGGTACCGTCTCGTCGGGGGCCTTGGCATCGGCCCCGGCGACGACCGATCGTCTGGAGCAGATGAAGGCCGATGTCCGGCGCTATGTCGTGGAGGTGCGCCACTTGGTGCTGGTGTTTTGCGCCATCTGTCGCAGCCATCCGGCCGGCCCTTCCTCCGGTAGCTGACCCTCTTCCCTGGGCGGTTTCTTTTTTTTCTTCCCCCCCCCCCCCCCCCCCCGATCCTTCGGGTTTGATCTGCCCCCTTCGTGCGCAGCTCTTGTCCGTTGAAACGCGCGACTCGGCCCTGCGGCATTTGATGCATTATCGCAAGGACCTGCCGGATCTGGCGCTCACCCTCTGGTTCAGCTACGGCGTGACGGCGGTCCTTCTGCATGAGATCATTGCCATCTATCCCTTCTTGACGTCCAGCGCCGGAGTAACCACTGGCCCGCGAGCCCTGCGCAAGGACATGAGCGACCGGGTGTGCAGTTCGCTGGCCCTGTTGCAGAGTGTCGCCACGCACTCGGTCACGCGCATCCCCTTTCTCAACGGTGCGCCCTGGTGTCTTGTCTTGCGGCACCTTCCCCGGATGTTACTGGCTTCGTGGCTCCCTCCTTCTTGTGCCCTTCCTTCGGGTCTCTGTCTTTGCGCCACAGCCTGCAATGTGTACTGACATTCAAGGTGGCCTGCGGTGTCTCTCCCTCTCCCTCCCTCCCCCCCCCCTCCTTCATTAGCTCGCATCTCCATCTTCGTCTATCCCTTCCTCTTCACGACATGTCCATCGGAACCCTTTGCCATGCTGCGACTGTCATCTATCGGAGTGATCGGTGCACTGGTTCGCCACGATAACAGTGACGTCATCCAGTTCCTCCTCCACTCGGATATCATGCCGCATTGCGTGCGCATCATGGAGAACGATGCATTCATTTCGAAGCTCGTGCGTGTCATGCCCGTGTGGTTCCTTCTTCTTCTTCTTCTTCTTCTTCTTTTTTCTCTCTCTGAACTATTCCCTCTCCGGTTATGGCTCCTCCCTCTTGTGGTGTCCTCTGGTGCCCTTTCACCTGTGGAATTGTTTCTTCCTCCTCTTACCCCCTTCCATCGGCCTCCATCTCGCCCTCTTCTCTTGGTGCTCCTGAACTCCCAGGTCGCCATCTATGTCATTTTGAAGATCCTCTCCGACCCGAAGGGTCTTGAGCGCATTGTCGCCAAGCGAGACTACCTTCAGAGCGTCATTCGCGGCCTCGGACAGATGGCCGTCGAGGTGGAGAATGGCTTCCGCGAGTTGGCCACCACGCCGTCCGGTCCGGCGTCGCCGCATGGCGTCGGCCCCGGGGGGCTTCCCTCGTCGCCGGCGGCAGCGGCGGCGGCGGCGGCGGCGGCCGTGGCCAGTGCCTCGCCCCTTGCCCCAGCCACCAACAAGTCGCCGACCAACCTCCTGCGCATGTTCAAGAACCTGCTCCGGTGCTACCACTGTCTGGCGCGGCATCCCTCATCTCGGCTGTTCCTCGGGCTGGAGCCCCTGCCACGGGCGATTGCCACCCCCTCGGAGGAAAGCACTCCGTTGGTGGTGGCCCCGGTGTTCGACCCCCTGGGCCGGCTGCCGGCTGCCTTTTACCATCGGCCCGGGTCGACGGGTGCCCTGCCGGGGGCCGGGGTCGGGGCGCTTCGCCCGGCTTCCGAGTCTCCCGAGGGGGCCAGTGTCCCGCCGCCGGTGTCCATGGCGGATGGCGGGAACGCCTCGCCCCCGGGCGCCGGTGGCGGTCCCATGCCGACCGGGTCCGGGCCCAGTCCGGCGTCGGCCCTGCCACCGGATGCCGGGGTGGGCGCCGGTGGTTCGGGCCCGGGCCCGGGCCCGGGCCCGGGCCAGCCGGCCTGGTTCACGAGCCTCGTCCGGCAGATGCCCTACACCATGGGCAACCCGGATGTCCTGACCGACACCAATGTCCAGCAGCATCTGGCCCAGCTGCATGCGGAGCTCGTGTCGCCGGAGCAGCCGGCCGGCTCGTCGGTCTCCGCCGGCGGGGCGGCTGCCCCTCCGGTCGGTCACCACCCCCTTCCTGGCGGCCTTGCAAATGGGGCTGGCTCCCCGGGGCCGCTTGGCGCCAGTGACCCGGCCATCGCGGCCGCGGCCTCCGTGCCGCGTCATGGTGATCAGACCCCGGGTCATGGCGGGTCGCTGGCTGATGCTGCCCTTGGCGTTATGCCGGGCGGCTTCCATGCCCCGGCTGGCGGCCGTCCCGGTGGCGGCTCCTTCTGAGTCGGGAAATGGCCGGTTAGTAGCCCCATCCTCGATTGAGCCCCCCCCCCCCCCTCCCTCCTCCTTCTGCTGTTCCTCTCCTTTTCCGTTTTGTCGGATGGCCGCCCCACCGCGGCATGTACTTGCCCTCCTCTCCTCTCCTCCTCCATCCCCGCGTTCAGTCGCTTCGTTCCTGAGCTCGGCTGCCCTCGCCGGCCGATGCATATTTGTTCGCCCAATTGTGGCTGGCTCGCGAGGGCCGTTGCCTCTCTCGTCGTCGGCTCGCGTGGTTCTCGAAATTTGCCATACATATGGCGACCCTCCGGGCTGGGCGGCCGACGGCGGTGTGGTGGCGGTCGTGCTTCGACCTCCCCCCTTCCTCCCCCCCTCCCCCCCTCCCCCCTCCCCCCTCCCCTCTGCACCCGTGGGCCCTGTGAAGCCCGCTTCATGACCAGCGGACAGAAGAAGGACTCTATTCTTGTCTTTCCCTTAGGTTGGTCCGCTGTTCCGCGCCCCGTCGCGCGCGCCCTTCACCCATTTCTTTTGTATTATAGCCAGAAATGACCTTCCTCTCCCTGGCAAGGGGAAGCGGAGAGCGCGGGCACTTGCTTTGCGACTCGAGTCATACTCGCGCACCTGCGGAGCTGGCCTTTCCTGTCCCAGTTCTTCTGCTGGAGCCAGGTGCGACAGGCCGTGATTCCGATGCAGCTGTGTGCTTTTGGTTCGCTCCCCCACGCCCCGATGTCCCCTTCCCCTTTTGCCGCCCCCTCCCCCCTCCCCCCTTCCTTGTGTTCCCTCCCCCCTGCTCCTGGGCGGCGTGCGGCCAGTAAGCCTCGTGCCGCTGCCCTCCCGCTGAGGCGTCCTGCCTCACCTTCCCATCCTGTCGCCCCTTTTGTGGCGCCCTCCCCCTCCCCCCTGCTCTCTCTCTCTCTCTCTCTCTCCGACAGCTTCCTCTTCTTCCTCCCTTCCTCTCTCTCTCTCTCCCTTTCTAGTCCGTTTAGACGACACTTTGGTTCGCTCTGTCTTCCTTCTCGGCGTACCAGTCCAGTTGTGATTGTAAAAAACAAATAAAGAAAGCTCAAGCTTCCTTTCCCTGCCGCTTCTTCTCTGCTCGTGTGCCTTTGTGTCGAGCCACCCTGCTGGGTATCCCCCCCCCGCTGCGGGGCCTCCCCCGATATGCCCCCTGCCTCGTCAAAAAGGAGGTTGACCCTTCCCCCCTGCCCGGGGGGCTCCTGGCGGTCGGGTCGCGGGCTGATCGGGCAAAAAAGCCTGGTCCTGGGGGGAGATGTGAACTGCCCACTGTCCGGGCGGGTCGTCCTGTTGATGTCTGGGTCGGTGAGAGTGAGCGCTGGTGGGCGCACGGGCGGGCAGGCGGTGAAGAAGAGCACCCCCCCCCCC